ATATATATATATATATATATATATCTGGCTGCCAAGGCAACTCTGGGCAATTTGCAACATTATAACATAATATGACATAATAAATGACAATTTAAAAACAGTGAACATAATAACCATAGAAATCAAAATTAAACACACAAACCAACCAACATAAAATTAACTAGAAATAATTAAAGTAGTTCCTAGTTACATCTTCTTTTGCTCAGTCTGAAATATCATCCATCTTTTTAATCATATTGATTGCCATAATGTTCCCTGTGGCTGGTTTCACCTCACTGATGAATATTATTGATGGATTTTCATGTACCTTTGACAAAAGAGAAGTAAGGTAGCCTTTATCTGGGCCTATGACCACTCAATACTATCAATTGCCTTATGTTTTATATACTAGCATTATCCCTTGTCCACTTCTTAGGCATCTTGAGCATGTGTGCTGAATACAAAGATGGGAGACAAACTGAAGAAATAAGGATACAGTTTAAAAGACATCACATGAGAATTAAAACTTTGCTAAATAGCTGTAGATTACACTGGGTCACTGTCTTTTCCTGCTTCCATACACTTTTCATGCATGGTATGACCTCGGTATCCATGGAGGATGGGCTCTAAGTCCACTGCCCATGGATGCTGAAAAACATGGAAGTATCAAACGCTATACATTGCATGGTCTCTGGTTCTCTCTGGTGACCAGTTCTGGTAAATACACCCTTGAAATACAAATAGGTAATTCTGGATGTTTTTATTTAGCATTTTCAGCCAGTGGCTAAATGAATCAGCAGATATCTATCCTGTGGATAGGGGGGGGTCCTACTGTATCTCAGGTATAGGGAACATACAACCCTTCAGATTTTGCTGGACTGAAAGTGTGATCATTTTCGTCATTGGCTATGCTGATTAGGGCTGATCGGGTCCTTTTGGAGGAGAAAGGTGGGGTCAAGACATTTTAAATAAATAAATAAAATAATATTGTAGTCCAACAACATCTGGAGAGTCACATGTTACCTGAGATGTAATTCCATAATACATTTCTTTTGCATTTAGTGATCGGAAATTACATCTCTCTTCTTCAAATGCCGTTGTCAGTAAAAGTCTCCTGCTCAAGTGGTTTGATTCTTGTGTTTCCAGATGAAAGATGTACGACATGAAAATGTAAACCCATTTTTTGGCCTTTTATCTGACGGAGGCCTTTCAGGCATTGTGATGGAATATTGCTCCAGAGGGAGCTTGGAAGATTTGCTGCTGAATACAGATATAAAGCTGGACTGGATGTTCAAATCATCTCTTCTGACGGACTTGATTAAAGTAAGGCATCTTCTTAAGTGGGAGTTTTAATTAACACATAATCACAATGCCAGGCTGGATCTAATGTGTGCTGTGAATCTAGGATACAGTTTAAAAGGTGTATGATCTATGGTGTGATCCTGGTATTCTGGTCTAGCATGGAGTAGAAGTTGCTCTTGTTATCATATAGCAAAAAAAATGTATTTAGTGGTAGAAGGTAGCAAACTTGGGTCAGAATAAATATCTGGGAACTAATGACTATCTTGAAAGGTAGTCCTACAGAGGAGGGGTAGGATCTGTTCTCCATCATCTGAGATTGCAGGACACATAATAATAGGCTCAAGCTATAGGAAGCCAAAAAATGGCCTGAAGCTCAACATCAAAAAAACTAAGATCATGGCCACTGGTCCCATCACCTCCCGGCAAATAAAAGGGGAAGATATGGAGGCAGTGACAGGTTTTACTTTCTTGGGCTCCATGACCACTGCAGATGATGACAGCAGCCATGAAATTAAAAGACGCCTGCTTTTTGGGAGGAAAGTGATGACAAACCCAGAAAGCATCTTAAAAAGCAGAGACATCACCTTGCCAACAAAGGTCCGCATAAGTCAAAGCTATGTATTTTCCAGTAGCGATGCATGGGAGTGAGAGCTGGACCATAAAGAAAGCAGGCCGCCCAAGAATTGATACTTTTGAATTGTGGTGTTGGAGGAGGCTTTTGAGAGTCCCCTGGACTGCAAGGAGAACAAACCTATCCGTTCTGAAGGAAGTCAACCCTGGGTGCTCACTGGAAGGACAGATCCTGAAGCTGAGGCTCCAATACTTTGGCCATCTCGTGAGGAGAGAAGACTCCCTGGATAAGATGTTGGGAAAGTGTGAAGGCAAGAGGAGAAGGGGACGACAGAGGAGAAGATGGCTGGACAGGGTCATATAAGCAACCAACATGAATTTGACCCAACTCTGGGAGGCAGTGGAAGACAGGAGGGCCTGGCGTGCTCTGGTCCATGGGGTCACGAAGAGTCGGACACAACTTAATGACTAAACAACAACTAAATAGAAAGCCAAATTTCAGTTGAATATGAGGAAAAACTTCTTAACTACTAGAGGAGTATGACAAAAACTTAATGACTAAACAACAACAAAATAGGAAGCCAAATTTCAGTCGAATATGGGGAAAAACTTCTTAACTGCCAGAGGAGTATGACAACAGAACCCATGACCTCAGGAGGCGGTGAGCGCTCCAATGCTGGAAACATTCAAGAGAAAAATAGACAGCCATCTGTCAGATCTGCTTTGATTTGGATTCCAGCCTTAAGCAGTGGGTTCGACTTGATAGCCTTAGAGGCCCCTTCCAACTCCATTATTCTGATGCTATGATTCTGTGATTCTGAAATTAGAAAGGAAGAAAACTGTTTATCAATTCAGAAAATCCATTTAGGGATAGTGCAGGAGGAAAAACATATATAGAGACCTTTCTGTATCCCCTAAAGGTAGCTTCCATGCCTACAGGTTGACGGCTCTTGATTTTTATTGGGTCTATGTATCCAACATAGGAATAAAAAAAAACAGATAATGGCTTTGAAAAGTGATGAAAGTAGTTGTGCATCTTTTTTTAGGTCATTAAATTGATTATCAGTAGGGTTGGATGAGCATATTATTTCAGCCTGTTTTTAATAGAAATTTAAGAGAATTGTTCTGTATTCAGAATTAAACGAATTTTAAAAAATTGAAAAAATGAAGGTAGACAAAAGTGAAACTGACCGATGCTTTCCTCTTACAAGTCTGTATTTGAATTACTGTTATCCTCAGCAAGGGTTGCTACCATACCTCCGACCCCAATGGACTCTTCATGTTTCCCACTTAAGTGACAAACAGGTTATGAAGTGGCCCTCTCTAGGGTGCTGACTACTTTAGCTGTTGAATTCTGCTTGTGCAAGTGGAAAATTTTGTTTCTGTGGCCAAAATCCTATTGTGTTGGGGAAGGGCGACAACATCACCCCTTAGTGAACAGACAGACAATTAGTGAACAGACAATTAGTGAACAGACAGAAGTTCACTAATTAAAGACTTCCACCTTTTTTTTCATGGCTTGTGCAACTCACAACTAATATGTTTCATTGTGTTGAAGCTGTGGGAACTTCAGAATGAAAGGAGGAGTCTTTAATGACTGAAAAACCCTCCAGCAGTTTTAAAGACTTCTTCCTTCTGTCCTGTAGCTCCCACACAAGGAACCGATTCCTGAGAGTTCGACAAGCTGTGTGACAGAAAAAGGAAGTCTTTAAGTACTGGAAATCGCCCCCTGTAGGCGATGTCATTACCCTTTTGCAGATGTAACTGATGCAACAGCATTTTGTTTCAGTGCATCTTTTCAGAGCGGACTAAAATGTCGAAATGCCCCCATGTTTGTCAGTTTGCAGACTGTCCTACTGGTGCAACATGGTGGCCACAATAGCTCTATGCTCTGCTGTGATGTTTCTAGACTCTGGCGCTACCCAAATCAGATGCTGAACAGCCTTGTTTTTGCAGGGAATGAGATATTTGCACCACCAAAACATTTGCCATGGGCGTCTCAAATCTCGTAACTGTGTGGTAGATGGTCGATTCATGCTAAAGATCACGGATTATGGGTATGCTGAGCTCCTGGCCGCACAACACGCTCTTTACGTTGAGCCTCCTGCAGAGGGTAAGAGGCTGTTGCCCTGTATTGAATGGAAAGTTTGGACAAAAAACACAGAGCCAAAAAGGATAATTTCCTTAACAGAGATTCTGAATGATAATAAGCAACAGAGCTCAGTTGCTCTGGCAGGAGAATAAATAGGTCAGGATCTATCTCAGCCGGTGGAGCTAAAATATTAAAGCTGTCCCTATTGTTAAAAGCCTGTCCGATCACCAAGATCTCCGGGGGACATGCACCCCCATGTCCCATCATTGAGGGCAATTCATTATGAAGAGAGACTTTTTGGGGTCCACCATATCGCTTTGGGGTGCCCCCCCTTTTGAGATTCAGCTGGCACCAACATTGGCACCATGTCAGTGCCAAGTCAATATGTGCTTATAATTTTTTAGAGAAATAAGCATGGGGGTGGAGGATCTTGGCCTGCACAAGTGTTAGTGCAAAGGTTTTAATTTTAATATTTTGATTTTAAGAATTTTAATCATTGGATTGTTTCCTGGTTTCCCCCCCCTGCTCTTCTGATTCTAAGGAGCTGAAACATCCCTCTACCGGCTTAGATCCTGCTCTGTCCTTGGCTCCACCCACATGCGTTTCGTCCTACCTACACTTCCAATATGAGATTGGATTATGGGCCTGAATGTCTGGGAAAGGGGTGCTGTATTTTAAATAGGATTCAATTCTTCACAAAAAAAACCCCATCCGGTTTGTTATGAATGTGAGATATTGAGCTCCTGTACCCATGATTCAAAAAGCCAGGAAATGGCCCAGTATTGCTGCACAATATCATGTTTGCATTGCCAGCAGGAAAAAGGATGCCAAGCTTTACATAGCAAAGGGCAGCCTGAATGTTGACAACACCAGTGGCAGCACTCAAGATGGTCTACAGGATCCCCTCTTTTGATCAGTGCCATTCACCACTGAGCCCTGACCATTGCTTTGTGTTTGGATGAGAAGTGGTGAACTGATGAGAAAAGGAGTTCGTCTCCTGGGATTTTCCCTTGCGTGGTGTCACTTTGTGAATGGTCGTGGTGCTGGGGGGCTCCTGTTCAACACCTTGACCGTTAGCCTGTGGATGGTCTCAGGGTCCCATACTATTTCACATATACATGAAAAACCTGAAAAAGGCTGTCCAGAGTTTTGTGGCCTGTTACCACCAGTGTGCTGACCATACCCAACTCCGTCTGGTTTTAAAGATCTTTTTAAGATCTTCACTCAGTCTCTCAGGCCCCAGTGTGTGGTCACCCAGCCTCCCTCCCCCACCAATTTCAATTGGGCAGAAATGGGGAATGCAGGATCTCCAGATGTTTTTCAGCTGTGATTTCCAGTCTTTTTCACCTGGCTAGGGAGGAATCATTAGAAGTGAAATCCAGCAACATCTGGAAGACCCATCTATTTTCCCCATCCAGGCTTAAAGGAATACCATGGGATATCTCCATGTCACACCATTTTTTGCAACCACCTGCCAGAAAGAATTACCTTTGCCTGTGAACATACAGACTTGAATAAATTGGTCTTTTTTCCTTCTTCCTCCTCCTCCTCATTCAGAATTGCTCTGGACTGCTCCCGAGCTTTTGAGAGATCCCATGACCCACCCCAACGGCACGTTTAAAGGAGATGTGTATAGTTTTGCCATCATCTTGCAAGAAGTTGTTCTTCGGAGTCCCCCTTATTCCATGTCTGAAATACCAGCGGAAGGTGAGAAATAGTGTTAAATAAAACAAAACCCAGAATTGGGATGGATAAAACCAAGGATTACTTAAAATCAAATTGATTTAAATCCTGATTTAAATTTTAAAAAACGAACATACCCATTTTATTCAAATCGTGAAAAAAAAATTCCAGTTAATAAAATTTAAATTGTAATTTAAATCAAATCAAATCCACCCTGCCCAGAATCCATTGGAGGATTTTGATCTTTTGACTGGTCTCTTTTTTTTTCAGTGGAAATTCCACAAGAGTATGCAAGCTTTTGAATCCTGCAGGGCTCTTCAGCAATGTAGCTAGGGCAGATATGGTATCAAATGTATCAGCATTGTTGGCAGGCATCTACTAAATTGAGCCTAGATTCATTTGTCTCATCCTGCTGGCCACTGGTAAAGACAGAATACTCAGGAAGATTTTTTTAAATGATGTTCAATTGAATATAGTAGGACCCCCTTATCCATGGGATTAAAATAGTGTTTGCTCTTATCCACGTTTTTCAGCATCCACAGGGAGGCTTAGAACCAATCTCCTGTGGATACAGAGGTCCTACTGTATTTTATTCTGCATTTTTGGGGTACACATGGTTTGAAAGCACCTCACTTTAACTAAGGTGAAAAGGCACAATAATGAAGGAAGCAAGATAGAACTTCCTCTTTTTTGTGCCATTTTGTCAGCTCTGGAGGTGACCAAGAAATATCTGCATGTATGTGGTCTTGGATGCTACTGCTACTTGGACTTCTTTGCATAGCTCAACTAGATACTGCTGATCCAACAAAAGCAGTTCTTTTCTCCACATAGAGGGTGCTTGTATTAGGAATGATAATCTATCCATGTTATTCTTACATCAGAGCCAAAACGTGCACTCAGAGCAATGTGTTACTTTCTCCTCACCCCCGCCCGAAAGTGATCTCCTTTGTTATGTGTGACTCTGAAACTGGACATGCAAAGGATGTCTTCGTTTATATTCCAGAGATATTCCTGACAACACGTGCTCTTCTTCCTTTAATCTGTTATCACAACAAGATCTTTTCCTCCACTTAAAGGAGCACTCTTTCTAGAAACGGATTTCTTTGAACAAGTGCCTTGCGTCTCATAGTGCCATTTCTTTTAAAAATATATATTTTTTTCTCCCACACTTATTGTTCTGCTACAACTATCTGCCTCCTTTGCAGGCTGGAATCTGCTCAGGTTTCCAGAACTTGGAGTAGTTAGTATCGTGGAGAAAAACCTCAAATTCTCCCAGCACTCTGGCTAAGGGAGGGGTCTGTAGTCCGAAACAAAAGTGCCTTTCCTGGGAAGTATTTTCTGGAATTGCCTGTGTTTATTATTTCCCCCATTTGTTGTGGTGGTATTGCTTCATGTCACTTCCAATGTACGGTAATCCATGAATGAGTGAGTGGCCTCCAGAACTACCAGCTGAGGTCTTGCAAACTCAAGGCGGTGGCTTCCTTTACTGAGTCCCTCAATCTCATATTTGGCCTTCCTCTTTTTCCACTACCCTCAAATTTTCCCACCATCATTGCCTGCCTAGATTATAGTTTGAAATGAGCTTAGATGCTTAGATTTCCTTCCTCGGTGACTTAGAATCAAAGTGGTGCCCAAAATCAAAGCTTTAAAAAATGGATTTTTTTTGGACTATCATTCCCTGAATCTTTCAACTAGCAGGATCATCTCGCCACCCAAAGTAACTTTTCCAGGTTCCGCAGAAAGGAACTTTCCCAAGTTCCAGCAAGCACAGTCATCTAATTTCCCCAAAAGAGAATTTTCCAAAGTTCTGGCTAGGATGTCTTCTCTTTGACCCAGAAATCCTTCTCAAGCTCAAGAAACCACCGCCCTTGTACCGCCCGAGTGTTTCTCCGGATCAAACCCCTCTGGAGTGTATCCACTTAATGAAGCAGTGCTGGAGCGAACGGCCAGAGAAGAGACCTACCTTCGAGGAGATCTTTGAGCAGGTCAGAATTCATGGTGGTGCAACTTCTTGCCTTCTAGGGAATCTTGCAAAGGAGATGTTGGGGTGGAGACACACAACCCCCCGGGTGCTGTCCATGGTTCTGAATCTATCTGAAGCTAGGCCAGGCATCAGCACCCAGGATATTTCCTGCACAGTTCAGGCTGAATCCCAGAACAGGAGTTCATATGATATTTCTTTCAATCTTTTTTTTCCTTTTATACATTTTTTTTTAAAATTTCTAAATCTCCTCGAGTCCTTTTTTAGGAGAAAGGCAGGATAAAAATATTTTAAATAAATAAAATCCAGAAGGGCCCCCTGTATCCGCAGGGCATCTGTTCTAAGCCAACCCCACAGGTGCTGAAAAATGTGGATTATAGCAAACACTATTTTAATTGTGGATGTTATGCATAACATGGTCTCTGGCTCCCTTCAATGTCCAGTTCTGGTAACTTCCTCTTTAGAGTCTGTCTGTCTGTCTGTCTGTCTGTCTGTCTGTCTG